TTGTGAATGCCGGTTTTCTGACTGATGTATGATCATGATGTACATCCAATCGTGTCAAAGACCTCTTAACAGCACAAGCTGTACTGTTTAGTTGGGTTTTTTTTAATGACGTGTGATCTCAAAAAGGGAGAAAGGTCCAGTTTTGTGCTATAATGGAATGTGTATCTGTCAAATGTACCAAATAAACACAATATGGTCGTGCAGTTGTTAGCACTGTCACCATGCTGCCATTCGGTGTGGTATTTGTGTGGGTATTCTCCAGGTACTTCCAGGGAGTGTTTATAAAATTAGCAGGAGCAGTGAAGGCAGCCTGGAGATGGTGGAGAAGATGACCTCAAACAGAAACTTGGTCAAAAATTTAATCTAGTACACAGGATATCAGCACAAACTCTTCATACCGGGTGTCAGCACGGTGGTGGAGGGGTGATGACTTGCACTTGTTTTGCTAAAGTCAAATGTGAGCCCACCTGTCTGACAGCTGAAGCTTGTCCTTTTTTTTCTTGGTACATGGCTGTGAGCAGATTTCTAGGGGCCAAAACTGAATTTATTGTTTTAATAACATGAACTTTGTGCAACAGGATCCAGATTTTTTTTTTTAAAAAGAAAAAGAAACAAAAACATGACACAGAATTTAAATGCAAAACTATTATAAACATATTAAAGAACCACAATGTGTACTTAAGTGACACATTTCTTCTATAAAACTAACATGGAAATTGTATTATTTTGAAACTAGCCTCAGTGTCCTGAGGTTTACATTATCCTCATAAATTTTTAATTCAATATTCTACCACATAATTAGAAGCTTGCCTTAGATACAACAAAAGGAAACCCTTTAAAGGAGAGGCTGTCCTTTAACATTTGAAATCAATGTTGGCTTCAAACGGGGACGTGAGCGAGAAACTATTTGTAAAAACAAAATGTAGCGGGGTTGATAAAAAAGCAAAATAAAAACAAGAACAACAAACCAAACAGCTTCTTATTTATAATCTCGGTTGTTGTAGGTGTGCGTCAAAGGACCAAATGTATTCCAGGGATACCTGAAAGATCCTGACAGAACAGCTGAGGCTATTGATAAGGATGGATGGCTGCACACTGGTGACATTGGGAAATGGCTTCCTGTGAGTAAAACGGGCTGAGTGGTGATGTGAATGGTGATGATCACTGTGCATAAACCTAAACTTACATTGCTCTTGTGGTTCCCTGCAGAATGGCACTCTGAAGGTTATTGACAGAAAGAAACACATTTTTAAGCTGGCACAGGGAGAGTACATCGCCCCGGAGAAAATTGAAACCATCTATGTTCGCAGTGACCCCGTGGCCCAGGTGTTTGTTCATGGTGACAGCTTACAGGTAACGCTTAAATCTCTGACTTTTGTTTCATTTTTTTTTTTTTTTTAATCTACACAAATAGTCTGTTTGAAGCACTTGATTCTCATCTGGTCCATGTTGTGTTTTAAAGGCATGCCTGGTGGGGATAGTGGTGCCCGATCCTGACTTCTTACCTATTTGGGCCAAGAAAAAAGGGTTTGAAGGCTCTTACTCTGAGCTGTGTGACAACAAGGTCCGATTTATTACTATCAGCAATCTGAACATGGACTCTCAGTCTGTATGCCTGTGTAACATCTTCTGACCTTTTTTTTTTTTTTTTGCTTTTGCTTTTGCTTTTAGGATGTGAAGAAGGCAATTCTGGAGGACATCTTGAATTTGGGCAAAGAAACTGGACTCAAGTCTTTTGAACAGGTGACTGGTCCTGTCTAACTTCAAGCGCAGCCAGTGCTTCAAACAAACAGACTTCATTTGAACTGAATGTCCACTGAAGTACATTTGGAAAATAATTTTAGTTTTTCCACTCAAGGAAAATATTGCCAGGAAATTAATGGTGCACAATCACTTCGGTTTTATTTTGAAAGATCCAAACGTGTCACTGTGACGGTGCTAATCTCTCATCTGTGCTTTGAATATATTGTGCAGTTATTTAGTATTTAATAATTAAAATAATTTCCGCAGAGGACCATACATGAATGTATGTTTGTTTTGTTTTGGGTTTTTTTACATGAAAAAGCACGAGTAAGTCTCTTTCTGGTTTCAGTGCAAGATTTACACTTCAGAGACCCAGAATTTTGCAATATATGCATCCTTAAAAATTATTTGCAGCAATACTTAAGTAAATGTTTGCTCTGTCATTTATCTTTTTTTCCCTCTGCAGGTGAGGGACATTGTGTTACATCCCGAGATGTTCTCTATCCAGAACGGTCTGCTGACTCCAACCCTGAAAGCCAAGAGGACTGAGCTTCGGAGCCACTTCAGAGAACAGATCGATGAACTCTATGCCAAAATTAAGATGTAAGCCAAGTTCAAGGCGTATTATAGGGAAGCCGTTCAGAGACAGCCAGAACCAAACCGTGTGCTGAGGGAATCCGTCTCACTTTCTCTGCAAGTGACAATCTTAACAGTTATATGGGGAAAAAGCTTTCAGGATAATTGGATAATGAATTTTAAAAGTGCATTTTATCCCCACTTTGATCAATAATCACACAGATCCATTATCCCAGCTAACACTGGCTAACTGGCAAAGAGATCCGCAGAACCCGCATCCAGTTTCTTGTGTAGTTTATCCAAGAATAAGGGTTAAAATGGCACAGAGGAAGTTTGACTTCTGCTTTTATGTATGACAACTTCACGGTCAGAAAGGTGCTGCTAGTTTTATTCGTGAGAGCAACAAGAGAAAATCTTTGAAAATACTTCTACAACAGTGACAGATATTAACTATTTATATGCCATGACATTTCATGCTTTGGTTATCTATTTAAGGGGATATTTAATATCATCTTTTTGTAAATAGTGTATCTGCTGGAAAATTTGTGTACAGGGTACCATGCCAGATACTCTGTAGCTTCCCTGCATTCCCATGTTTCTCAGTGCTGCCGGCTGAAGGACTTGGTTAACAGCCTACTGAAAATTATGTTGGTTCACAGATTTTAGGCTTTTGTTTTTGGTGTTATTTTTAAATGTTGCATGTAACATATTCACTGTTGCTTTCTAAATGCCTGACATTGCATTGCCAAAGGCTGAGGAATGAAGCTGCACAACCATCGTTTGTATATTCTGCAAGTATTTGGGGTAAAAATAGTAACAGTGATTTTTATGTTGATTTTTAAGAAGTCAATTTATTCAAACCGTTTCCATGTCCTTTGCAAAATGAGCAGTCTTCATTTCAGCCATTTGAAAAAAAGTTTGTTTGTTTTTTGTGAATGCCGGTTTTCTGACTGATGTATGATCATGATGTACATCCAATCGTGTCAAAGACCTCTTAACAGCACAAGCTGTACTGTTTAGTTGGTTTTTTTTAATGACTTGTGATCTCAAAAAGGGAGAAAGGTCCAGTTTTGTGCTATAATGGAACGTGTATCTGTCAAATGTACCAAATAAACACAATATGGTCGTGCAGTTGTTAGCACTGTCACCTCATAGCAAGAAGGTCCTCCATGCTGCCATTCGGTGTGGTATTTGTGTGGGTTCTCTCCAGGTACTTCCAGGGCGTGTTTATAAAATTAGCAGGAGCAGTGAAGGCAGCCTGGAGATGGTGGAGAAGATGACCTCAAACAGAAACTTGGTCAAAAATTTAATCTAGTGTGGTCTGCGGTGCTGATCTGATCACATACCCAAACCATCTCAGCTGGCTCCTTTGAATGCAGCAGAGCAGCAGCTGTGCTGTGTTACAGTTCATGTTCAGTTTAAACTTGAGCTGGCAGTCAAGGATCTCCACTTGAGCAGAAGCACAAACACCTGCAGCTATGTACAAACCAGGGGCGTCTCCACGGCGTGTGTAATAAAGTATTTATTACATGTTTTCACAACATTTAAAGTGCTGCCAGCGTCTTTTATGCAATACTGCAAAAGAACACAAATCTCATGCTCTACTGGGAATCAAAATCTGCCATACAACTGAGCAGGAGCTGGTCTGAGATCTCTTCACTCTTCTGTTCAAAATTGTCTAGACTCTCCAAATAGTCCCAATCATCCCGTTCATCTCCCCACACATCAGATTTCTCCTCCTCTGTGTGAGTTGTGCTCTGTGGGCCCATGGGTTTATGTTCCTGGCTGCTTTCAATGTTGCCAGCATCGTCCATGAGGTACACCTGGTCCTCCTCATCCTGTAAGAAACAGAAGACGTGATTACCGACTGATGCACGTTAAAGCTAAAATGCTGTTAAAATAAATGAACTAACCAGTGTCAAGACGTAGCTGATACAGATCTCTTGTGGCAGTGGGTAACCTGTAACAGGGACATGATGTTACCTCACAGTTGGGTCATGTTTCCTTGAATTATTTATACAAGTCAGTATGGCAGCTCTTTCGGATCATGACATACTCGAGGACCTGAAGTTCCTGCATTCAGGATCGTGGCACTTCTGGTACCACACTTCCTCTTTCAGATCCACAACGATCCTGCAGAGGGTGACAGAGCCAAATCAGAAAGTGGAAGAACACTCGACAATCTTCAGAAGATGAAGGAAACAAACTGCGCTCACATGATGTTGTTGCTTTTGTGAAACCGCCCCACGTTTTCACACCAGCGGTATTTGGCGATGTCATAAACGAGAAGTTGCTCTGCGGCGAAGTAGTTCCATCGTCTTAAGCCTGTTGAAATTTATGAGATCATAAAAGTCAGGTAGGACAATCGATGTGAACTGCCACACTTTTCTTTTCAAGCAGAAAAAAAAACAGCAATATCTAAATGTTTCACTCGGCTGGATGTCACGTTGGAAAACCACAATTTTAGGGCAGATAAACTCTACAGACTGAAATATTTCACGAGCAAATGTTTTCACAGCATAATACTTACTTCCTTGTATCCCATCCTTTCTAACCACCGTTAATACAAAGTTGTCCACTTCTTGGTGAGGGGATGACAGGAAGCCAGAAAGTGCACCTGTCGGTAATATACGGGAAAAAGTTTCACGAATCAAATCATTTCACACTGAGGTTTTTGAGGTGAAACCAACAATAACATTTATGCCATAAACTGACTACATGCAGGAATACTTCACATATGTATATGCAGAAGATTAAGAAAAACTCTCGCTTCAGCATTACCTGAGTCTGAATCCGACCCTTGTTGGGACTTAAAGGGGGAGATTTTGGGCTCACTTGATTCTGGGATATCCCATGTAAGAATCCTCTGACCTGTGAAGCTGATACACGGGAGGAGAGATTATGTGTGGCACTTTTTAAAAAAAGATCACAGCACACAGGAATCTGAGCTGTTTGTGCCCAATGTACCTCACGTTACACACTAAGGAGGCCAAGAAAATGCTTTCCTCCAAAGAAGTTCCCTTCTCAGGTTTGGCAATACACTGGTTATCTTCTGCCACAGTGAACGCAGCATTCTTCCCCGCTTTAGACGACTTGTACAGGCGGAAATTTCTGTTCTTTGTGTAGACACCTGTGTGTTGAAATAAAAATCCACGATACGTGAAGGGAAATTGTGTAAATGCATATCTTTACACATAAAAAAGGACATAATAATTTTTAAAAATCTGATTTCCCTTACCAAGATCCACAAAGAGAGAGTCTCGACCATCTTTGTTTTTCACCTGGAGGAATCTGAGGTCTCCCCCTTCCTCTTTACGCCTCTTCATCTCTGGACTCGCTGCTTGAGTTCTACTCAGGGCGAATAAGTGCAAGATATTAACCTTAAACACTGAGCACATAGAAATAAAAACATGCAGTTTTTACAGGTCTGGGAGAACAAACCGTGTTTCCACTCCATTATCAAGGTGGCTTCCATTTTTGGGTTTGTTCAGGACAGGCTGAAGAATTGCATGGATGAACCTTCCTACAAAACCCCAATCAGATGGAATATATGATTATTAAGCAGGTATTAACAGGCTGATGTTTTCCATGTAGGGCTGAACATACCAACATGAATGTTGTCTTTGAAAGCTGCTTGTTGGAGACAGAAGATGAGATGTCTGCTAAATTTCTCCTCAGTGCTGGAGTCGAGATTGAGGACATTTTTCGCAGAGCATTCAATCCCATAAACTTCCAATAACTTGTCACAGACGTACTGTCACCACACAAAGCAGAGAGGGGTAAACATATAAACATATCAAATGTTTAGACGAGAACTTTTACTATTCATGGAAAACATTAGCTCAGTTTGAATTAGATGGATGCTGAATGATGCTAAATCACATACTGCATCTATGAAAGCAGCATGGCTTCATAGTAGAAGAGTCTAGGTGCAGTCCAGACCTTTTTCAATGGGACAAAATTTATCTCCCAGAAGTCCAGCAGCTAGTCTTTTCAGTTCCCAGGCATTTGCAGACTGTTGTTTAAAAGAAGATGGGATGCCTTGCCCCACTTTTTTAAGACATGTTGCCATCAAATACAAAATGAGCTATTATTTTTCTTAAAATTGTACATTTTTCTTAGTTTAGGCACTTCATAGTTTTTCTATGCTCAACTGTGAATAAAATGTGGGTCAAAGAGATTTGCAAATCTTTGGATTCTGTTTTTATTCACATTATACGCAGGGCCCCACCTTTTGTGGACTTTGTGCTGTATAAATGTTTCTCACTAGTCAGTCGTCAGGGTCCAGAAGCAAGTTATAACCATGTCTTTCCACAGGTTCATTTTCATTATTACATTTCATTATTAGCGGTAAAATAAACTACTACTTCAAGAATTTCAAATCAGTTTTATTTCTATATATTTCCAGTTGACAACAACAGCAGTCATTTCAAGGCTCACTATGAAAATACTACAGTCTATCTAAATCCATTCATAATTTATGTCTAAAAGTGTGTGAATCAAGCTGCTTTATTAAACTCCTTTGAACAGGAAGTAGTGAAACAGAAAAATGGACCCCACCTGGATAAGCAAAGACACCATAGTTTTCCCATCAGATCCTTTGTTTGAAGGTTTGTGGAACTCCAAGTCCAAGTAGAGCTTACAGACAGCTCCCTCTGGTATCACCTCATAACAGTGCATCAAAGACTGGGTGTAAGTCCTGTAAAAATACACAGAATCGACAGCTGAACATTAATTTTTTTACTGAACACAAAAGGAGCTGCATCTGAAGCGAGTAGTAACTGATATATATTAATATTACCTGTAGTAAAACCACAGCTCACTGTAACTGGTAACCAGGTAAATCCTTTGACCCATGGATTCCTTTTCTTTTTCAAGTGCAAAAACATGCACAGCCTTGAGAATGGAAGGCACAAAATTCAGCAACTTTCCCTCCACATACAGTATGGAAACATTAAAGTAGAAGATCTTGTGTACCTCTTTGCAGCTCTGAGCGAAGCTGGTAGCCATGGATTGACGAGGGAAGAGTTTCCAAACAGACGAAGGCTGGCAGGGCCACAGTCGAGGCTTGTAAGGTGTCGTCAGAGGATTTTTCTGGAACGACTGAGCGAGCTCTTCAACTTTCTTCAGTCGATCCCCCCACTTACTCATCTTCAAGTCCGTATTAACCTCCAATTAGCAAATTCTCTGTTATTCTCACTCAAGGACAGTTTCACTCAGTGATCTTTAGTTATCCTGTCATTCTTCAACCTGAAATAAAAACTACATATGGCATATTGATTAGATACAGTTTAAGAATACTGTAACCTATACCCTGTGAACTTATAAACTGCAACTCCATGCTGGGTATATAAAAGCTGACAAGCTACAAGGCGTCGCCACAGCAGGTAGTGTGATTTGCTTAAGTTTTATGTCCTTTATGCCGTCCTCATGCAGCCCCAAAAGGGTTTCTGTGTGTCCCACAGGAATAGGACAAGTGATTGCATTAACCACATCTGTATGAAAATGAGAAGCAACAGTTACACTAGCTGGCTCAGACTTTAATGTATTAATGTATGTTATACAACATTTTGTAGGTAATTTCACATTTTATCCATGAGTTTTTAAAAGAAATGACAATAATTTTAACTGTAAAATTCAAGCATGAAAATAAGAACAACATCTGGAATGGAGCTTTCAAACCTGCCAAGTACAGCAGCCAAGTAAGTAGCAGTAACAGTAAGTAAAGATGAGACACAGTCCACATATTCAGTTACTGTACTGAAGTACAAATTTGAAAACACGAGTATCAGTTTTGACTCGTTCTCTCTGCTCAGTAATTTCCAGATCGATTACAATTTAAAACATCCTCAAAAAAACATTTGCTGAAGACATAAGACAAAGTCAGATTAGACACCTTCTGCCACTGTATGCCTTCTATTTTTTATTTTTTAACTGTTATCAGGCTCTGACCTTTTTTGTGCTGCTTTTATCTGATTATCCTTATAATTCAATAAAGACCTGGAACACTCAGATTGCATCCACATGGACAGCTCCCAAGTGAAAGGGTGAGTGTCCGCGGAAAAAACATAAAATAGCTTTTTTATATTTATTATAATATTCATGACATCCAAATGGGATGTGTTTCAGATCTAACTGTGACCAGCT